TTAATGGAAAGGTTCTTCTTAGCATGGCTCTAAGTCTGTGTATATAAATGATTGGGGTTTTTTGCTCAGACTACCACAGTAGGAGTGTTGGGTGACGACTGGCCTGCTGTCTGTCCTTTCTCTGGGACAACAGACGGCACTCGATACTGAGCTCCGTTATGTAATGGCACAATAATATCTAGAATATTACCAGATTATGGAATAATTGCACAAATGTAAAGAATGGCTGGCATGCTCTGGCTTTAATACGTCAATAAATGAAGGTTATCTGAGGGGATTTTTTTTTCATATTAAGCGAGACTTAAAACCATGGAAAGAGATGTGTGGAGAGACATTATGTGTGTATTTAAAAAAAAAAAAAAAAAAAAAGTTACACCTTTCTCCAAATATCTAAAGATAATAAAACTGTATTGAATTTGCTAATATAGCTTATATTATCATTGATAACTAAGAGGCAAAGCAAAAGAAAACATGTTTTTAATGGAATGATTTTCACATAGCTGCCATTTTTACATTAAAAATGAATGTCAAGCATACACAATGGTTAACATTGTAGTCACTTTATTTTAATAGAGAGCTGAACTGGACCAAAAATGTCAAGTTGAACTTGGACTATAGTCTTTATATGACATTTACTTTACTAAATTGCAGTATTTGCTTTATGAAAATATACATCTTGGGTTAGAGAACCAAAGAAAATGACCTCCCCTGATCTCAAAGTCAGACCAATCTTCTTTGACCCCCCCCTCGCCCCCCCAAATAATGTTCATGTTGTCCTTAACTGACCAGAATTGAGGCAGTGAGTTTAGGCAGCATTGCATCTCATAAAATCCTCCCAACACTTCTTGTGAGGACTCTATGTGGACTTGTAATTACTTCTGGGGTTGATAAGATGAAAAGGAGGGGGTTGGGGAGACAGATGAACAAAAGTGTTGCCAGTAATTTCTTGCATAAGCGGCATAGTCAGGTGTCCAAACAGAGAATCCAGGGTTTATTTATAGATCTGTAGCTTAGCTTCTGAAGAGGAGTGTGGTTTTTTTTTTCTTTTTCGTTCACGTTCTCCCTTCCCCATTGCCTCCAAAAAAGACAGCAGTCCCATGCAAACACAGGAACAGCAGGATAAATACTTTTTTTTTTTTTCCTGATTTGTACAATCACAAAACCTTTTGTTTAGCAGAACTGAAGCAGCTTGCTTGGCGCCTTTCTTCTTAGACATATTTACCTGAAGATTTAGATTATCTGGTGGGATTGATAATAAATTGGCACATGTCATTTGGTTCAAGATGCAGACTATATCTGCACCTCAATGCCATAGTGCTTTATAAAATTAGGCTCCAGCTTATCCATTATAAAAATTAATCCGTACTCTAAAAGTACAGTAGTGAAAGGGAATTTTCAAGTTGTAATCACTTTTTCTTGCTAACTTATTAAAATAATTTGAAATTAAATATTTTAGTACATTTTTCTTCAAATACATCCACAGCACATCACAACAATGTGTCCAATTTATTTCAATTTCTGTCAAAATGACAAATAAACAATTAAACTCAACTACATATTATTCATGAATCTATTTATGGGACTCATTTGCAATGCATCACTTAAGCAATCTGTCTTTTGCCCTGCTCCTGTGTGTACATCCTGTTCTGTCCTTGCGTGGGGGGAAACGGCTTTGGAAGCATGTTCACGTCCGGTTTGACCTCTACTGCGAGCGGACGCAGACACACCCTGTAGACGCTGTCTGGTTGAATGTTTACAGGCACTGGGAGGTGACCGCTGCCTACCTGTCATCTCTCTGCTCCAGTCCCAGTGCAGGCGCCCTTTTAAACACCTTTTTGTGATCACCTATTTTTAACACACACACACACACACAGAGCCAGACCTGATTGTATACAGTGGCGAGGGGCTGAACACGTAACTAAAGACCATGGGTGGAAAAGGCATTTAATTATTGATTAATGGCAGACCTGCAGGTTTGGTAGCTGGACTTAGAAACGGTTGGTGAAAAGGCTCGTACAGCAGGAAATTCACACCTGATACTTTTCCCATGTTGTTTATTTTTTTTTTTTTTTTATGTCTTTTGAGAAGCTTAACAGGCAACCTTCAGCAGCTAGAATAATGTATGGTTGTGGGGCTGTTTTTGTCCATGAGGTATCAGTGGGAATTTAGCCCTCTGTATTGGCATCAGTTTGTTTTCAGTCACCTCTGAGGGCACAGCTGACAAATCCTGTAATTGATTGCGCCTTTGCTTGTGGCCGTCGGCTTTCCGACACTTTTCATTCAGCACATAAACCTGTCAGAAATGAAATGAGCTAAAGCCGCCTGCCACAGTCAATGTTGCTGTGAGGTTTCAATGTCATGCAGGTGTTCTGCAGTTTCTCAACATTTTTTATTTTTATTTTGCTGTCCTCTAATCATTTACTGTGTTTAAGTGCTACAGTGTTGCACGTGACATATCAAAACTTGTACAAATCAAGGTTGCCTTAATTCACATCCCACTGCCAGAAATAGCATTGTAGTTTTCTTTTTGTTGTGACTCTTTGTTCTGTTGCAAAGAGAACGTGTTAGGTGACATATGGAGATACAAAATGTTCCACATTTCCATGTATGTGATGTAATTGAGTGAAATCCAGCAGGCATGCAGTTCATTAAGTGAGCTTGGACTACATAGAGTGGAGTATTTGATTTGCCTGTGCAGTGTTCCAAACGCTGCGCTGATTCAGTCATGTGTGCACACAATCGAATATCATAAAACAGGCAATGGCGAGGCTGGGACAGATGCAGTGAGAAGTCTCAGGTGAGCACTGTTCCACTTCACAACTCCATATGTGACAAGGGCCCAAATCTCGCCTTTTATTTTCTGTTGTAAACAGGATTGTTCCGCTGGCTCAGACAATAGCATTTTGTTCTCACCTGATTTGTGTATTTGAATTTTTACGAAGAGTTCTACGGCTGAGCAGTACCACAGCAAAACAGACCTATTTGATTTATTGTCTTGAGCCGTGCTAGCGGCATGGCTCTAGGGATGGTAAGGATGTTCAGACATTCATGGTGGCCAGAGGATGAATCCTGTTGACTTTGGTGATCCCTTAACTTTAGATCTAGCACCTCTCATGCATAAAATTAGTCAGTCATGTCCCCCTCAAGATGAAATGCAATAACTTACGTGATCCCCTGACTTTCAATCTACCCCCATCATGAGGTGAATCTGTCCAATAGTTTGATTTAGTACCTGCAAAACTAATGACCTTCAGTCTCAACTGTATGTTTATTTCTAATCAGCAAATATTAGCATGCTAACACGCTTAACTAATGGTGAAAATGATAAACATTATACTTTCTAAAACTCATTATGAGCACGTGTTGGCTTTGTCATGGGGGGGGAAACTGCTTGGCAACAGTAGCTGATTAAATGGAAGAATCTCTTTCAACAAAGCCTGCCAATAAAAGATACTGCACCTCCCCAACACAAACTTAACAATGTCAGCCGTAGCAGGAAACATGCTCGTCTGGTCACACATGTTCTCGTATTACAGATACATTTGTACACTAAAATGTGTTTCTGGAAAGATTTTATTCGAGAAACACCGTAACAGAATCTTGATTAATATTTGAACAGCACTACCTCATCATGTTTCAACAGTTTGATCGGAGTTTTGTGTGGCGCTCTGGACGGACTCACTGAGAATGACTTATCAGTCACAAGGTAGCCACGCCCTAAAGCATAGCCTGCTTTATTGTCTATTTTACTCAAAATGGGACCATAATGAACAAAATTAACAACATGCTGTATGGAGGAAGATTTGAAATTAGCGATTGAGACTATTAACTCATTAGGAAACTGTTTTTTTGAGGCCATAAATCAAGTTAGAAGTAATTTATTACTTCTAACATATGTATTAAACTCAATACTATCACTTATTTTTTGCAGCCCAGTTCTGTCCACTAATTATTGTCAAACACTTTTATATAACTAAAAATACCTATAAAGACTCATCCAATGTGAGCATGTTGGCGAGCTGACGTTAGCATTTAGCTCAAATCACCACTATGCCTAGGTAGAGCCTCACATAGCTGCTAACATGACTGTAGACTTCTGCCTGCAGTATAAACTGTAGCTTAGAGCTGGCCGTAGTTTGTGTAAGCAATATGTTAGGGTTACGTCTCAGGCTTGTTACAAGGAGAGACGAGGCGTGAGCCTGCAGCTCGGGCCCAACAGGAACAGGTCGGACAGAGGCCACTCGCCACAGATGCCTGGTCCCGTCAGGAAGGCGGCCAGCTTCTGTCTCCAGCCAGGTGCACTGTGGAGCGGTTGTGCTCCCAGAGATCTGAGCCGTATGGCGGTACCATGATCACACTGTGTTCCAGCTGGAGCTCTGGATGATGGATGATGAGTCCTCAGCATGGGAGGTTTTTCTGCCTGCTTGCTTTAATTCTGTATGACTTCAGGCTCTTAATATAGCCCAAGCTTTTACACCCGTTTTTGAAGAGATGTCATGGTTGACTGTTCTCATTCTCTTTTTTTTTTTTTTTTTTTCCCTTCTTCCATGAATAGGTATGAAGTCATTGGTTGCCGAGTGGTGTGACATACTGCAGGCTGACGATGATTTTCAAAATGTGTCTAGAACCATTCCAGTCCTTTGAAAATTCAAAGCCCTTGAGTTGTCTGAGTTTTCAGCTCTTTTTTGGAAGATGATCACAGGCTGTTATTTAATTTGGGTTTGACCTCTTCTGGCAGTGGTGACCTGTGTTGTTTTTTTATTTTATTTATTTTTTTTTAGGGATACAAGACATTTTTTGCTCTATTAGATAATCCATTGAAAAGAAAATGAACAAGAAGAGAAGGAATAACATGCAGCGGCCTTCTCATTCAACAGGACATCCCAGCCTCCTCTGTGGCTGACACCCATCATGAAGTCGCACAGTCCTTTCGGGGTGGGGCGGGGACATGTTACCTCGCTGTCTCGCTGTGTTGACTGTGACATTTCCTCTCTCCTCAGCAATACGCGAGTTCCCCGATGACCTTTTCACCAACCCAGAACGAAAGAGTGGGGCCGTTCTGCTGCATATTGTGGCGGTAAGAGGCCTTTTTTTTTTTTTTTTTTTTTTCATTTTAGGCCCACCTGCATCTCCCATCACACTGGTCCCCAGTTAACGCTCTCACTGGAGCTCAGCTGGTTGCAGGTGCATTTTTCACACAGCAGCCTAACTACATTCCAGGCTTTAAAAGATAAAAAAAACAACAAAAAACAAGCAAAGTGCGGTTATGGTAGCAGTTTTTTTTACATAGCCAGATTGTAAAGATGCCACATAAGAGCCTTTTTAATGCTCAAACGATGATACACTTATGATCACATTAAAATCAACATGCAGCCTTAACGTATTTTCTCAGGGAGATTTATAGGGAAGAAAAATTTCAAATATCTCAGCAGTTGTACTTGAGTCTACGACTAGTGCAAAAGGATCTCCTAAATTTGAATTTAAATAGAAGTCAGGTTCGTTCTTGTCTTCAGTATCTGGGCAGAGGAAAACTCTGATTTGGCCCAAAGATTGGGGAATAGCTTAGTAAATTAACCTTTAGTTTAGAACATTTTATCACAAATGTCTCCTAATTTATTGTAGCCAAGGTCCAAGCACATTTTTTTGGGCTTGTAATTTAGTAAACAAAGACCTACTACCAAATCAGCGCAAGCTGCAGCACTAGATTAAAATCGGCTGATATAAGCCTTTTTACAGATAACATTATTTATGTAACCGTATATAGATCTGCCTTGGAGTCTTAAATGTAATGAATGGACATCATACTACAAGAGATAATTTTATTTTCAGTTTGAGAGTGCCGTAAAGCAATGATGTCTCTCAGAGGAGAGCTTCAACTCAGGAGTGTGGGTGTGGGGGTTTGGAAAGCTTTAGTGTTTTAAGTCAGAGTTTAAATTTAAACATGATTACTTAGAACAATGCTGAGAGGCTTGATAAATACAGGGCAGGAAATAAGGACGGGCAAATGTCCTTTTTGTCTATACTGTATGAGCTGCTTCTCCACACGACAAACCAGTATTGTCTCCGTTCAGTCATACTGCGCTCCACTGACTGGACATAAAGACACAAGCTACCTGTGGAGTTATTCAGTATTGCTCTTCATGCTGGATTTAACTGGCTTTAAAAAGTTTATTTTTTGTCAAATGCAAACCCAGGGATATAGCCAGGATTTTAGAAATATTTTTAATGTAGTATTTTGTTGGATTTAGAGTCTTAAGAAAAAAAATTGCTATTTTTTTTTTTTGTAACTGCCTCCACTGCAGCACAGCAAGGGAGTACAGGGAATTTTATACTTAAAGACAGTACCTTTTGGGCATACTCAGACTGCTGAAGCCTACTGTATTAGCTTCATATAAATCTTTGATATGTTTTTGTACAGAACAAGGACTTTTTGAGGATTTTTTCACTCGTCTCTTACATTGGAAGCTTATTAGGACAGGGTGAACAGGAGGAATGATTACAACAGCCAAAAAGTGTTTCGCTTAGGGCAAAAATATCACGACATTTCAGGTTATTTATGTAATGATATTCTTGATATGACAAAATACTTTTATCTTCTTCTCGTATTGACCCGGGTGCTTCTGCTTGAGGTGGTGAAATAAGTTTGTTTGTATTGCCCCCTTTTGTTGTCACGATCTTGCACTTCTTACATATTGCAGAGGTTTGTTGTACATCTGATCTTTTGTAACCTTCCTCCACACTACGGAAGTTGCTCCCCTTTTTGGAACCAACTCCTCCACCGTGGAGCCGGTAGCAATGTTGTTTTCGCTTTCAGCCATGCTTGTTAATGTTTGACGTCATTACATGAACGTTACATGGCACACCTTTAGTTTCAATGTACATATATGGCCACCTGATTGTTGTTTTAAGACGGACTTGCAATTGGAGCTTGGAATGTATTTAAATACACAGTAAAAAATACAAGAAGATTGCTGAAACAAAAATAATACTCCAGAGGACATAACCTCATTGTCATCAATGGCAGCTACAGCCCTGAACACACTGTCTTTTGACCTCTTTATAGGCTTGATAAGTTTACTGACATGATGAATGAGAGACAGTTTTTAGCAGAGGTGTAAAAAGTGTAGTACTTTGTTTAAGCCCTTCTCATCACAGAGATTACATAAGCACGGAGATCCCAGCCTAAGATACTTGCTACATGGAGAGCAGCAGCTCATATTGTTTCTAAATCTAAATGAAAGCTGAAATACAGCAACATGAACTGCAGCACCAACATTTGCAGTGGTTGAGTATTCAGATCCTTTATGTAACCGACACCACACTGCAAAGCATTTCACTGCTGTAGTTGGTTGAGGTGACCATTGAACTATTTTGTGTAAGACTACAACTATTGATTATCATTTATTATCTGCTGATTGTTTTCTCAATTAACTGATTGATTCATTGGTTTGTAGAAAAACTCAATAGTCAAAGGAAAAGTGGCAAATCATCACATTTGGGAATCTCAAACCATGAAATGTTTGGCATTTTTGCAAGAAAAAGTTGCTAAATGATCTTCGACTTACAATGCCTATAAAGTATTCATCCCCCTTGGATGTTTCACCCTTGTTTCTTTTATACATGAAATCATGGTCAATATAATTTGGCTTTTTTGACAAGAATCAAATATCAAAGTGAAAAGGGATTTTTACAATTAAAAAATATATATTAAAAAAATATATAAAAAACACCTGTGTCTGGGAGGTCCAGTCTCTGGTTCATCAGTATCCCTACTACAATTGCAACATGAAGAAAAAAAGAACACTCCAAGCAACTCAGAGAAAAGATCATTGAAAAGTACAAGTCAGGAGATGGCTACAAAAAGATTTCCAACTCACTGGACATCCCACGGAGTTTAGTTAAATCCATCATTCAGAAATGGATGGAGTATGGCACTTGTTTAAATCTGCCTAGAGCTGGCCGTCCTCACAAACTGAGTGACCGGGCTAGAAGACGACTGGTGAGGGAGGCCACCAAGACACCTACGACCACTCTGAAGGAGTTAAAAGATTCAGTGGCTCAGATGGGAGAGACTGTATACAACAACTGTTGCCCGGGTTCTTCACCAGTCGAAGCTGTATGGGAGTGGCAAAGAGAAAGCCACTGTTGAAAAAAGCTCATATGAAATCTCGCCTGGAATTCGCCCAAAGGCATATGCTAGACTCCAAGGTCGATTGGAAGAAGGTTCTTTGGTTTGATGAGACAAAAATTGAGCTTTTTGGCCATCAGACTAGACGCTATGTTTGGCGAACACCAAACACTTCACATCACCACAAAATCTCCACCGTGAAGCATAGTGGTGGCAGCATCGTGCTCTGGGGATGCCTCGCAGCAGCAGGCCCTGGAAGGCTTGTAAAGGTAGAGAGGAACATGAATGCAGAAAATTATCGCCAAATCCTGGAGGATAATCTGACTCAGTCTGCAAGAGAACTACAACTTGGGAGAAGATTTATTTTCCAGCAAGACAACGACCCCAAGCATACAGCAAAAGCTACACAGAAATGGTTCAAAGACAACAAGGTGAATGTTCTGGAGTGGCCAAGTCAAAGCCCAGATCTCAATCCAATCGAGAATTTGTGGCTGGACTTGAAAAGAGCTGTTCACGTCCGATCCCCGAGCAACCTGACAGACCTTGAGCTGTTTTGCAAGGAAGAATTGAGAAAAATAGTAGTGTCCAGATGTGCCAGCCTGATTGAAACATATCCACACAGACTCAGTGCTGTAATTGCAGCCAAAGGTACATCTACTAAATACTGACGTAATGGGGGTGAATATTTATGCAATCATCTTCTTTACCTTATATATTAATTAATTGACATTAGTTTGTAAAAATCCGTCTTCACTTTGATATTAAAGAGGTTTCTTCTTTTTTTGCAAATTCTTGTCAAAAAAGACAAATTATATTGACCATGATTTCATGTATAAAAGAAACAAAAGGGTGAAACATCCAAGGAGTGTGAATACTTTTTATAGGCATTGTATTTGTGAATTGCCTCATAATTTCAGCTATACTTGTGTGTGTATATACTGTTGGGTAGTTTAATTTCTAACAAAACATCATATTTTATTAGCACGTAACATAACTTGTGACCAAAGCTGACAAATACAAATTTGAGGTACATCACTTTAGTATGTTTTCATGCCACTTTCAATCCCATATTTACCTAAGTACAGATGAAAAGGAATTAGTTGCATTCCACCACTGAACAAGTTTGATTTCACTTCTATGGTTATAGAAAACAACGTGAGCTGCAATCCGGTATACTGAATTTCCAATTAAGTGTCCTCAGCTGTATGTTCCACACTGAAATATGACTTGATATTGTCCTGGCTTCACTGCTGAGAGGAGGATAAAATGTGTGTTTGGGTGAGGGGGGCTCATACTGCAGTCCTGCACTGCCCCCTGTGGATAGCATAGAGCAGAGCACAGCTGCTGGAGCTTCCAGGGCCATTATGATGTCACACCTGATCTATAATTTATAGATCTCTCCTCAGATACCGACATAAGCGCCCCCCCCCTCCCCACCTCCCCCCTTCTCTCTCTCACAGAAGCTGGAGTATGCAGACCCTGTCGATTTTTCAAACTGTAAGGGGAAACGTCTTGTCAGTGAATTGATATTTAAAATGAATGCAGGTCCTATTTTTTTAATTGGGCTTTAGAATTCCCCTTCACCCATCCTACAGCAGGAGAATATCTTCTAGCCAAAGCTTTATTAGCTCGCCTTATTTCTGAATTTATGCTGATTGAGGATGTACCTATGGCAGACACACACTTGTATTCTCACTATATCTTGCCCTTGACAAAAAACACCTCAAACCTAACTCTGCTGATTCTGTCTCTAGGCACTCTACATGTTTCTGGCCCTCGCCATAACATGCGACGAATACTTTGTGACAGCGCTGGAGAAGATCTGTGAGGTACTTGGGAGTTGTAGTCTTTTTCTTTCAGTGTTGCGATTACACAAGTTTGTCTGTGTAAACAGTGCAAAACACTAATCTTTACTGTATTTCTGCAGAAATTAGATCTGAGTGAAGATGTTGCAGGAGCCACCTTCATGGCAGCTGGCAGTTCTGCACCAGAGCTTTTTGCATCTGTCATTGGTACACACACACGCATACACACACATATACAGTATGTGCATACACTCAGACATTCCCAGATGGTTGGTGTCACCGCTGATTCTGATTGGCTGCCTCCCTGTGTGCAGGTGTCTTCATCACCCACGGTGATGTGGGGGTGGGGACCATCGTTGGCTCAGCGGTCTTCAACATCCTTTGCATCATTGGTGTCTGTGGGATCTTCGCTGGACAGGTGTGTGTTTGTGTGTGTGTGTGTGTTTTGTGAGTGAGTTAGAGGGAGTGAAGTGACTTCCTGCTGCAGAGGTATCATTCTGTTTATATATAGACTGCAGAGAAGCACATGTGTGGCAGAAGTGTTTTGCTGAGGGGAAACAAAGCCATCTGCCTCAATTTGTTCTCTAAGAACTGGTTTTAAGGGAAATGGAGAATTAAACTCTGGAGGTGTAGACGGATCATAAATCTTCCTCCTTTTGAGCTTTTTTTTTTTTTTTTTTTTTTTTTTTTTTGTAGTTTAAAAATGTATTTTTCCCTGTGAAACCTCAGGTGGTGATATTGACCCGGTGGGCAGTTTTCAGGGATTCCTTCTACTACATCCTCTCTGTATTGGCTTTGATTGCAGTAAGTTCACTGCATTCATTTATTAATGAACACCAGCCCTGACTTTTGGATGTTGTTTATTATAATCTAAGAGAAATTTTTCTCTTAATTTTTCAGTTCATCTATGACGAGAAGATAGTTTGGTAAGTAACCTCATCCAGTTCGGCTGTAAATGTGTCCTTATTTTAAAGTGAGACTTTCGTAAGAAGTTAGACGTCCTGTTATGGATAAAAATTAATAAAATTAATAAGCAATAAAAGAAACCCTTGATCAATTCTAAACACTCAAGGATTTTGCTGGTACAACCTTACTTGGACTGGTATGACCATTAGCTTATAGTGGCTACTTGTTGGATTTATATTGCTGTTACTGACACTACTGATTCAGTTTGCTGACTTTACAACAATTTACCATTATCCTGGAATTGTTGTCGTACTGGTCATTGTTCAGCAAAAATTATACATTGTCATACTTTGAAAGTTTTTTTTTTTTAAATTCCACTTCCCAAATTTTCAGTTTCATTTTCAGTTAGTGTGAAGTTTAGGAAAGTGAAAGGTACCGCTAAATTCTGATAGTCCGCCTTCATTTAGTTTGAGTATTTGTAACAGTTGGTTTGTTTGTTTGTCTATAACATATCTGTAGGTAGACTATCCAAATAAAGTGGAACCAAATTAAGTTGAGGTTTAAGAGCAATAAGGGAAGTTTTTTTATTTTTAATTTCTTGGTTTGTCTGTGTGTAAAATGATTTTATTATCATTTATCCCTCATCCTTCTCTTTATCAGGTGGGAGAGTTTGGTGCTGGTGCTCATGTACGTTGGATACATCCTTGTCATGAAGTGAGTTCTGCGCCATAAACTAAATGGATTTAAAGTATCAAAAGGAAAATGCCCCCTAGACTGATACATTTATGTGACTATTATCGATACATTGGCGGCAATTTACTGTTGTAGCTGGAGGAGATAAGGCTAGTTTTAGATAGCCTACTTTTATACACAGTTAGGCAGTTTAGTCCAGTGGTTCCCAACATTAATATGAGGGGTCACAAGATGATTAATTAAATAAGGAAATAAACAATGTTCTGCTACACAGACTACACACAAAATCTCAATTCTGACATCTGAAACGTGGCCCCAGCTAACTTTAATAAGAGGTCACAAGCCAAAAAGGTTGGGAGCCACTGATTTTAACGAGACATTTTATACGTTTGTTTTGGGTTCTTTATATTAGAATTTTAAAATGAGAATTAACTATAGCTGTCAGACAAATGTAGTGCAATATTTCCCTCTGAAATATAGCAGAGTAGTAAGTATAAAGCAGCACAAAACTGAAATGGTTAAGTAAGGTACAAGTGTGTCAAAATTGCACTTAAAAAGTCCACTCTGTAGGATTTTTAGTGCTGTAGTTGCAACTCCCGTGTGTGTGTGTGTGTGTGTGTGTGTGTGTGTGTGTGTGTGTGTGTGTGTGAACTCTTACATACTAATACCTGTGGGCTCACAAGTATGACCAGACCAACTGTGCACTCAGTAGTTTCAAAAGAAGACTGAGTTTGCAGCTGGAGGGGAGGGTCTCATTCATGTCGTCTACCCAGATGTTAGCTGAAGATTCAACCCAGGAGCCTTCTGGTGGATAGATACTTTAAAGATTATAGTTCCTCCTTTGTGGCTCTTTGAATTATACTAGATATCAAAATTTTATATTCACTTTGAATAATGTAAGTATTATATCAAACGCTGCTTCCAGTTGACAATTATCTGTTGAAATCAAACCACTCGACTTTAAATCCTCATTTCAGATGTATTTTAATTCATAAAACTGTCCCATGAAACATACTTGAATCTGTCATATTTCAGCCTTTCTTTTGAATTGAATTTGAGATTATAAAGGGATCAGTTGTCTGGGCTATGTATCATCTGATCACTATTTTGGGTTACAATCTGCCCCGAGAACATCTTGTCTCCTTGTCTGTTTTTACTGTATTATGCAGGAAATACGGACTCCATCTATTATGCCATATTTGTGTCTTTATAGTCCCAACTGCATAATGCCAACCACGTCGCCCTGTGCCGCTGTCTCTGTCCAGCTGGTAATCTGTGTTAGACTCAGCAGCAGCCTGCTCTCTCCCTGCCATAAGAGTTTAATCTTTCTCCCTCTGCAGTGGCTAAGAGCACAGGCTTAACCGGATCACTCCTCTCCTTTCTCATTTGGAGGAAAGAAGTGCTTACTGTAGGATATGCTGTCATATGTCTCCCCTCTCCCAAAAATATCCGCTGACCGTTTTGGGCTGTTCCAGTCAAAATGGAGTAAAGTGGGTTTTACATAGCACGATTGGTGCTCTGAGGTGACCTTCCAGGGCTCGGCTGTGATTTTGTTTTTCTCTCTTCAAATAGAACGCATTGCTACCAATAACAAACTTTTTGTTAAACATAGTACCACATCGGGAAACAGGCAACGATTTTTAAAATGTCATTAGTTGTGTATACTTTGGCCTAAAAACTGAAAATCTAGTTGGACACTCTGCTTCTATCTGTATAACATTATCTCCATCTTCAAGTGACATTCTGTAGATGTAAGGAAAAACTTTATTTGTATTGGCACTCAGTTTTACTTCACTTTTACTTCACCTCAATAAAATAAGAGTAATCAGTTTTTATTTTTGAGTCAATAATCTTTTATAGCCTTTTTTTGGCTTTACTGTACAAACTATAACCACTATCCTCAGATGCTCAATTTAGATATGGAACAATTTAACGTACCATTAAACAAAATGTGGAATTAACATTATTAGCAGTCAATTATTTTACACTCAATTTTAGATGAAGGGTACATCGAAGAAAAAGACCTCTCCAGTGCTCTCGGATTCTCTGGAATCAGGAGAGTCCTCAGAGGCAACAAACTTTATTGAATAATACCCGGGCATCCCGTCTATGGGTTCATGTGCTCCAGTATTCTTGGGGAATATATCTCTGAAGTCTCTTTTGATACACCTTCAGAAGCCATCATTAGTTTTTAATGTTTGCTTTTGAAGGTGTAGAACCTATGAAAGGGATGGAGTGGCTCTTGGGATGTTGTCAGTGTTAATTCTACACATATTTTGTTCAAAGGCAGCAGTAGCAGCAGCAGTGTGCTCAGTATTTGTGATCCATTTTTATATAATGGCACTCAAATGGTCTCACTGAAGGCCCGGGTGGCAGTCTTGTGATTGGCTTCTGGGAATTTAACTTTTTCTTTTTTTTCTATTCTAATGTTGAACAGCATATTTTTTGTGTAGTATAGTGTAATGCTGATGTTGTTTTTTAAAAGTAGGTCACCTAAATTGTAAATGTATTCTATAGAAGTATGCAAAGTGCTTATTTTGGTTAATTAATACATGCTACTGTATATCTATTTTTCAAACAAGTTGGAGCCTTTCATCTGAAGCTCATGAATCCTATTTGCAAGTGTGAATCTTGACACTGAAAGCCCCGTCTTGTTCTTTTCTTTATCTTTTGGACTCTGAACTATTTCAGTATCTCTCTAATTTAGGGATTCTGTTCCATCTGTTTACTAGATTCAACTCCAGCATGCAGAGATGTTTCATGGGGAAGTCAAAGAAGAAGAATGTGGCCAACGGTAACGCTGCGGCCAGCAGTGAGATGGAGGACGGTAATACTAGTTATGACTATGTTTGGGATGACGACCCGTCATCGCCTTTACTCTCAACAGGTAAGGTTAATCAGACAGGCTGGGTACCCAAGGCTATTCTCTGCCAGGAAAAATAATCAGATGTTGTTTGTAATAAATTGGGGTTCATGGGCTATGAAATGGAAATAGATATATATTGGATGATTTGCCTTGAAGGTCGTGGCTGTTTCCCTCGGTTAGAGGGTCTGTGGCTTTAACCTTTGTTCCTTTCTGCTGAACTAGTTTGAATTGCTTCTACTGTATTCTGCTGAAATGTACTTAAGACAATAGTTCAACATTTTGGGAAATACGCTAATTTGCTTCCTTGCTGACAGTTGATGAGAAGACTGATACCTCCCTCATATCTGCCCACTAAAAATTAAGCTACAGCCAACAGCTAGTTAGTTTAGCAAACAGATTGGAAACAGGGGGAGACGGATAGCTTTCTGTCCTGTGATGATGGAGCCAGGCCAAGAAATAATCTGGCGCATAATAGAAGTGTTCCAACGTGTAGTTTTACAGCTGTTTTTTTAATATGAATCGAACAAACAAGAGATAACATGTTAATTAGTGAACTTTAGTAGTGGTCCATCCTCGCCCTTGTTCCCGCCTGTTTCTTCTTATGCTTCAGTATGCTAAGCTAACTGGCTGCTGGCTGTAGCTTTATATTAAGCATACAGACACAAGCAGTGTCAATCTTCTCAACTCTCAGCAAGGACACAAACAAAAACATTCCTTAAAATGTCAAACCATTCCTTTTTTTTAAATATGATTCTGCAGAACCGTACTTTCTTAAATTCTCCAAAGATCAAAGAAACGTCAGTCCTTTGACCTCAGTTAACTGCATTACCTGAAGAGACCACACTGTCAGATTTCCCCCTTTTTTCTTGTGGGACTTTTAAAGGTTATAGTCCTCTATTCATTTTCTCTTCCTACTAAGTCCTTTTTCTAGGTGATAAGCAACTGCTTATCTGAGCATATGTGGTGGCACAAAATGACTTTTTTTTTTTTTTTTTTTTCTTTAAATAATGGGACCAGCATAATGAAGATATTCTTTAATCTTCCGTTGGTAATGCAGTTTAATGTCAGGGGACTTTGTTGTCTTGGGTTTAAACTTATTAAAAACTCAAATTCTACTTTTCTAAATAACATCTCTTTTAATGTCATGTTTGGGTGAGATTTCCTCATAGCCACAGTTCTCCACTGCTTCCCTTTCCTGTCTTTGACCCTTTTTAGAAGTGTCTAATCTTTGACATTTAACCCCAATTTAACTCTTCCCACTTTGGCTGCAATAGTGTTAACATGCCTGTCTGTTTAGCCTTACTAAACCTACTCTTGCTTATTGTCAACAGTGTTGTGCTGCTGTGTGCCAATTCTTTCTGCTTGCATACTACTTTTCTTCTGCCGGTCTCTGGGGCGTAGACCCACTCACTCCTGAAGTGGTAATGAATTTCACAAGAGGAAATGTTTATGCCGGCTCTGTTTACACAGTTAATTTATGTGCATTCTTGCATACATAATTAGTCAAATTAAGGCTAAGTTAAACTAATAAGTGTGTTGTAGAACTTTTTATTGCCCATACACTGAATCTTATATTGTGAGCACAGAACAGATGAGGAGTTATAGGATGCCAATAAAACATTTTTAGGATGTGTATTATTGTCGGAGAACAAATCGTCTGAAGTGCATGGGATAGTGTGTTTCAATGTGTCGGCCACCTGCATAACAGTTTGAGATTGTCCGTTCAAAGGTGCCAGAGGTTACATCTTTCGTGTCGCAGCTTTTGAAATCGCTCTTGGTCCAGCCATTAATATTCACAACTGGTAGGCAAACTTCAAAGCTGCACCAGGCAATTTAGGGAAGCTATTTGAAGTTCAGTAGCCAGAAATCACATGTCAGTAACTGCACACAACACACTCATGTTAACCCAGCTGGTGTGCAATGGTTTATACCAAAGGAATGAGATTGGGGGGGGGGAAAGTTTCATCACCGAGTCCAGGGGTGATTCCCTTAAGATTTTACACCTATTTTCTTCCATGACATAAGGATAAAGGGGATTGAAAGAGAGAAGAAATATTTTGTGACTGTTAAATCTGCTATCTGCTGTTTTTCTGCAGATCTGAGAGTCCATTCAGAATTACATGCGTACTGGTACTACATTCTGCCATTATAATCTATGTTTATGTGGTCTTAATGTGTTTGCAGCTTAGTCTTTTTTTTTTTTTTTTTTTTTTCCACCTAACCTATTTCTAATGAATTGGACTGAACACACTATTTAGATACTGGAATGAAAATGATGATCACACGAAAGACAACACTTGCGCTCTATCAAACAATACTACCAAGAATCACTTCCCTAGTTTCTGTTGAGACAACAAGCAGCATGTATTTCCAGGTTGCATAGGAAAAGATGAGGAAGTGCAGTGAAAGGAGGAATGATTTCCAGAGCTTTGGAAAGCACCCCACCTTGTCTAGACGAGACATTCACGCTGTTGTTTACAGGACGTTTTTGCTCTGAGGTTTTGATTTGTGTAGGCATTGAACTGTCAGCACCGAGCCCACGTCGTGATTTAGGGTAATGGGAAATGGTGTATGTTGACATAAAAATCTTGCCTGGTGCAGCTTTAACTCTGACATGGTGACAAAATGGCTCTTGCTGAGCGTTCATTAATATTCCTTCGTAACTTGGCTCAGGACAGTGTAGCACTACAAACATTTATAGTTCAGTACAGAGATTTTGATGGCTATCCCCCCTCTTAGGTATTTATTCAGTATTGTTTTAAGTTTTAATTTGAACTTTAGGATGTTTCAAAGAGTTAGGATTAATTCAAAATTAACGTTATTTCACTGTCAGTAAGGCGTCAAGTACATGCACTTGAATTAAACAAAGATAATGGGTAGATTGTCGCACAGTTCATTCATTCATTAAATTTGTTTTTTATATTTGTATCACCACAACCCTCAGTCAAGCCAAGCAAGGCTTACAGCCGTGGATCGGTGGTGATGGTGGACGAGATCATGAACGCTAGTCCTTCCAAGTTCAGGTTTCCAGAAGCTGGCCTCCGCGTTATGGTCACCAGCCATTTTGGACCCAAGACCCGTCTGCGCATGGCCAGTCGCCTCATCATTACAGAGGTACAGCTGCGCGTTGTTGCTCCAATAAGAGGAGTTACTTGCTACTGCTGTTTGTTTTGAATGTATGCTATTTTCAGAAGTTTTTTTGTAAACCCCAGACTCTCCTTATCTCATTCACACAGTATTCATGTGTTTGTGTTGACTCCAGAAACATTAAAAATATGGCTGTAGCACAGTAGTCGGTAGCAAGGTGTCTGCTCTAGTGCTCTTTGACTTAGTTTCTTTTTTCTGAAAGCGCCAGAAGTTGGTCCAAGCCGCCAATGGAGTGGAGACACAAGTGATTGACGGGAAGGTTGAAATCGAGAATGGAAACGTGCCAGAGGACAAACCCACCGAGGCGGAGGAAAACGACACCATCTCGCCGTTTCATGTTCCAAGTATATAATCTGTGTATTTAACTGATGAATGTGTTTAATTTGGCATACATGGATGAATCCTTTTTAAAGTGAAACAAGAATCACATAATATTGAAACCTCTCTGCCATTTAGATCGTCCTTTTAAGACCTTCCACTTCAGTAGTTTTTGATGATCTTGTTTTAAATTAGGTCAACAATATGTCTGCTTGAGAATGACTTTACCAATCCATTTGCTGGAAAGAATATTCACATAATTGATGAGAAAGAAACCCTATTTGAGTTTTTACATGAAAAGATTTGTGGGAAATGTGGTCTGAACAGTGGCACTGACCTGAGAAAGAGGCCGCAGGTCAGGTTTGTTGACAGTAATGATTGAAATTAATTTTACAATGTAATGTAACTTTTTATTTTTTAATCTTTTAGAAAACATCATTTAGTAAATGTCATCTGGGCAATACACATTTTTTTCCCCCACTGCTTGTTAAAGAGAAAGCATACTGTAAACTGTAAATGTGTTTTGATCAATATCCTTTGATCGAAGACCTGAGGAGGCTAATCTGCTAATGTGTATGTCTGCTGCAGGGGGTATTGGCAGCAAGCTGAAGTGGCTGCTCTCGTGGCCTCTGCTCTTGTTGCTGTTCTTTACCGTTCCGAACTGTGCCAAGCCTCGCTGGGAGAAATTCTTCATGGTCTCCTTCATCCTGTCCACTGTCTGGATTGCTGTCTTCTCCTACTTCATGGTCTGGATGGTGAGTGCAATATTTGTGTGGAAAGTTGAGACCTTAATAGATTTTCAGAGTAAGGCACTTACCAGGACACCTTTAGTATTTACTTTTACTTGTTTTGCTGAAACAATTAGTTGGTGAATTAGTTGGTCAACATAAAATTAAGTCACATTCATTTTTATAAATGGCATTGTTGGTTGACAAATTACTTAAATTATCACATGTCTTCTATAGTAATCATCGGGGTTATTATATAATCCACAACAGTTTTTCCTCTTGATGATGGAGATGTAAAATTGTCAATGATGGGATTTAGTCTTCAATTTAAGATGCAGCATTTACAATTCACAAGAAATCCACAAAGCGATTTCCCCCATGGCTGCATATGCTTCAGACTACAGCCACTTAATGTTATTAATATCCCCTATACAAACATATTTAATTGATGTAACTATAAGTAATAAATATAAGTCTCTCTCTAAGGAGTTGTAGACCTGAGCCAGCGGATGACTGCAATAACTGACTTCCGTGTTCTTGTAGATCCCTCTGGTGGTAAATAAAATAAGCACATCAGTGTTTCTCACACTTCTTGCACCGTGTAATACTCTCCAAGCACCACGGTCATCAGCATTAAAATAGAGTAGCTTAGACTGACTCTATTCAACTACAGACAGTTGAAGCAGTAGGCTTTTTTAGCTTTTAATAATAAGATAATTTATTGTTGGTAATAAAGGGATTCTCCTGATCTGTACTTTTTCTTCTTAATAGTTCTTGTTGGAGCCATGACCGCATTGTTTTTTAACCTTTCATTTTACTTTTTACTTACTAACTTAGCTCTTAACTAATCATTGATGCACACAACATGCATGAATGTGACTACTTAGCGCGCTGATATTGGGAGAAAAAGAAAATTAAAGGAAACCAAACTTTTAAATTACATTTCAGTGATCTCATAGTTTTTACTAGTTTTACTTTAGTTTTCTGGCTCTTCCATGCAACCTCTCCTTGTCAACAAACCAGTAATAAGCCTCGAAAAATCAATCTGACCTTCACCTTCAAAATGGTGGATGTAATAATGTTAGCTTACCTGCAACAGAATGTTCACCTGATGCCAACCGCGGCTGACGGGAGATTTAATTGTGTGTTTATTGCTAAGCTAAGTGAGGGAACATCAAATGTTGACATTTGGTTTGAAGGTTAACACGAGAAAGCGGAGAACGTTATTTTTGAGCTCTCGCACTCTGTATTTATCCCAGGTGACTATAATTGGCTACACTCTGGGAATCCCTGATGTCATCATGGGGATCACTTTCCTGGCCGCTGGCACCAGTGTCCCGGACTGCATAGCCAGCCTCATTGTGGCTCGGCAAGGTACACCTTTCTGTCGCAAATATTTTTAGATTGCCCTTTTTGTGGATTTATTATTATGCAGTGGAGAGCAAAATGGATGTTGTGGTTACAAGGTACACATTTTTCTACCGCATTTTTCATTGGCTGTTGGATTAAACAAGCAGTACAAATACGGGTACAGGGTCTTGTTAGTGCTCTCTCGGATGTTCCTTTTTTTTAAATAAGTGGATAGACGGAAGAACATGGATAAAGAAATCAAGATGTTAAGAAATCCAACTATGCATTGTAAGCATTTACATGCAATTTAGGTTCTAACTGGGTAAACTTACAGAGATCCAGATCTATTAAGAGGTGTACTTGATTAGCTTTTACAAATCTAGTCTAACGTACTTTAAGGAGAGTCCAGAAATGTGTTTCCTCTTTCATGTAAAGAGTTGAACAAAGAGGCACAGGAACAAGAGAAAATAGTGCAGTGCTGTTTATAGACCGTACAGTCTAGCACTGCGTCACTACATTCCCAGCTGAATAAGGTTAGGGCCCTTGTGAATATCAAAGTACAGAACAGCAAAATGTTGGAAATAAAGTGCTTTATTTGACCTGAAAGTCTCGAAGACAAACTCAACTTGCTTGCTTAAAGTTGTAGTTGCTTCTTAAATAACTACCTCTGGTTTTGTTGCAGGTTTGGGAGACATGGCGGTGTCCAACACTATTGGCAGCAATGTGTTTGATATTCTAGTGGGACTCGGGGTCCCCTGGGCAATACAGACCATGTGCGTCAGCTATGGATCAGAGGTAAGGAGCGTGTTTACTTTACAAGAACTCAGATTCTGTATTGTTGTGAGTGCAAGACGCAACCGAAATCCAGTCCCTCCTTATCTCTGCTCCTGAATGATAAGATTGTAGAGCTGCAGATGAATTGTTGATCTCTCGGTCTTGTGTGTTGCAGGTAATGATTAACAGTCGAGGCCTGGTGTACTCGGTGGTGCTCCTGCTGGGCTCTGTGGCCCTCACGGTGAGCAATAGTTAATGATGTTTACGCTACACTGGTTCCACATATTGACCACTTCCAGAGAGATAACCCGGTTTACTGCTGTAGTGAACCATACGTGTTTTAAAATAAAAAATCAACAGTACTGTGATACGATAAATAACATCCCTGCTTGGCTACTCATCACCAATTGATGCACTGTTAAGCAATAGTGACTGAATGTTAAAAATTTAGTATTGTAAATATGTGGGATATTTCCTGTAAAGAAATCATGTAGTGCAGAGGAAATAATGTTTTCTTTCTTGGAATAAACAACAACATTCTGGTAGTTATACTGCATGCAGTGTAAATGTGAGCTTCTTACTGGAGAAATTAAACCAAAATGATCCTTTCTATTGCAAGTCTAGTCGGAAAGTGGGACAAATAAAAGTAGTAAAAATCAAATAAACATTAGGTTTTCCACACAGTTGATTACACAGATGTTACTTTTACTTAGTACTGTTTTTTTTTTTTTAAATCAATTACTGGAGTCATTTCAGTTAAACAGTTTCTACAAACTCACGAATACATAAACAGTGTGTGTGTGTCCATGTATTTCTGATCTTGGCATCTCTCTCACACATACACACAGATCAGTAATGTGCCAGCTGTGGAAAGCTTCATCAACAGAATGACACACTGCTATAGTGTAGTCTGATCAAAGGAGACAAAAATGCCTCCATTTTAGGATTTGGATCTTGTGCGTATTGGCTGTACGAGTTACATGATATTCAGTCAGTTCAGGAAAGCGATACAATAAAACTGAAGTGAATACATCATAGGCTGCAGCATTTAACTCAGACATACTAGAGCCTGCGCAAGCCATTCTGATGTATTTGTGTACATGCAGGTGCTGGGCATCCACCTGAATAAATGGAGGCTGGACGTGAAGCTGGGCTTGTACGTCCTCGTCCTGTACGCCATCTTCCTCTGCTTCTCCGTCATGATCGAGTACAACGTCTTCACCTTCGTCAACCTGCCCATGTGCATGGAGGATTAGGGCACGGCAGCATGCCTCGGATACCAAAACCTCAGCGCTCCCATAGCAACCCCAATTTATTCTTCTTCTTTTTTTTTCTTTTTTCTTTTTGCCAATAATACTGGACCTATCTGCAGACTCCTTTTCTCCTCCTTCGCGCTCTCTCCCTTGTAATCCTTTTCATCCCAAATATGAATCTCATTTCCTCAAGAGGCAGTACACACTGTAAGAGTGGACTCCATTCTATGTCTCTAATTTGTCCTCTTGTCACACAGTGCCAGTCCTTAATGCCCATTATTTCGGGTATTGCCTGTTATTGCAGTAGTCTTTATTTCCTCTGTGCGCCTGTTAACTTTCTACCCATCTAGCATGCCTTTAGATGTCGGGGACCTCCAGAATCATAAGTGCCCCTGTTGATTGTTTGTGTGTGTTTTTACTGTTTTCACATTGTAGATTTCCACACAACATTTCCAAAGCTTTTCCACAAACCAAACCAGAGTCTGTGAAAAAAAACAAACAAAAAAAATCCTAGGACTCCTACCAAAAAACCCCCCTATGTAGAGATAACTCTCCTTGAAGTCATTCCTAAAAGAATTACAGAGTTACCCAAGCACCCAAAGAAAAATAAGTACACAACTTTTTCCCTCTCGACCCCCTGGAGGAGGGCTTTGTCCTTGGCAGCTCCCCTCCTCCACCCTGGACCCAACTCCCCTGGCATGGCCTTTGGCATCAGGGAGCAGATACTGTTAGCGCTTCACTCACCCTCTGCAACTCTTCTCAACCCTCATCTGCTTGATCAAATCTGCTTTGTTTTCTTTAAAAAAAAAAAAAAAAAAAAACAGACATTTTATCAGGACTTTGTGTCAAGATGTATCACAGTCCAGATCAGTTGACTGTGAGGGTGTTTTGCATATGCAGCACGGCACAATGTAAACTTGTAAACACTTTTTTTTTGTTTTTTTTGTATTTATTTTTTTCAAAACAAGGTTTTGTCTAGTATGAAATACGGAGGAGAGCTTGTTACAAATATAGGACATTGCCTGTTTTTCACTGAAACAAATTGCACATGGAAACGCTTTTCTTGCTTTGTGCTGTAAGGAGATTTGACCACTCAGAGGGGTATCTGGCTGCTGGTTGTGGTGAGTCCACTCCAGTTTTATTTTCATTCAGTGATGGGTCAGTCCACTTTCCCTCTGCACAACTTCAGAAGAAGAAGAAACTGGCTCCATATCTGTGGGATGCATCTGATTTTTGTCATCATCAGGTGACTTGTTCTCATCTTGAGACAGCAGCAGAATGGAGGTAGTTGTTTAAAAAAAAAAAAAAAGAAATGCAAAGAAAACCAGACGGTTCTCAACACTGACTGTCTGCTACAACACCCTCTGGCCAGTAGGGGGTAGTGCAGCCCCTCTACCCACAACAGGGGTGCCAACCACAGCCGTCGGTTATCAGGGAAACTCGAAGGACAACTCCAGGAGGTTGTGATGGTCTCTTGATTTTGAGTTACATGTAGATATTGCACTTTAACAGCCGTCCTCTCATTCTGAATCAACTAGTGCTTCCTTCTGTGCGTGTGTATTTTCAGTGTATATGTGTCGTGTGACTGTGTGAGAGAGAACATTGTGAGTGTGTGTGTGTGTGTGTGTGTGTGTGCGTGCTCAGTATGGGCCCACGCTACGTTTCTCACACCGGGCTCTCGACTCTCGAACAGACTGGGACCTCGTTAACACCATGAGCACACCCGCCTCTGTCTGCAGTGCATGCTGGGACATTAAACCGCAGCTCCTCCACAGCACAGCAAACGGCTGAGGGCTTCTGGGCATCTCCATGGAAACAGCCCGACCCACTTTACAAAAATCGGCAGCTACGAGCTACACTGCAATCGAGACATTTGACATCATGCAAAAATGGCTGGGAGTCCACAAGTGAGGTGCAGAGACTACAAACTACAATGCGTGTGGGGAAGTGTTTTAAGTGTTGAAAATATTCCTCTGCCACGTCGTTGGCAGCAGGCACTTGTATATGCAATCTCAATTTAAAGAATTCTATGTGACAGAAGCCCCCCGCCCCGCAAGGTTGCCATATAAAGACGGGGGATCTCGTGGAGACGTGACGTCGGTTTGTCTAGTAGTAACTTGATGTGTGAGCTCACAGGTGTGTGTTTGTTACAGCTGAGGAACTGAGCCCAAAGGATGGACATTTCTGGATCAGTGGCTTTGAGGGAAGTCCGATTACCCCCCCCTCTTCTAAACATACACTCCCTTTTTCCTCTCTTCTCTCTCCACTCTTGTCCCCTCTTGCACACGGGCATTAACTCTCCACCAACCCTAGCTGAAGGAGCAGAGGGGCAGCGGGGAATGCATGGATGGATGGATGGATGGTTTTCCTCCACCGCCCTCGGGACATTGTCACTTTTCAAAGTATCTGGATGAGAGCAGACTTTAAGGAATTAAAAAATGTAAAAAGGAAAAAAAGCTGGACCCCCTTAAGCTGCTACTCTATTGGGGTTCACACAGCTGTGTTTACTGGACGGAGGTGACCACACAGGGCCTACAGACTCCACGACACACCCACTGTCATCCTTGTACACCTCTCCCTCCTCCCCCTCAAGCTTTTGTCAGTGGGTCTTCTGTAGATACAGGACCTAATTTTTTTTTTTAATGCTTTTTGTGGGGAAAGCACGTCTGTATTGTACTTGAGTTGATTCAGAATGTGCAGTGTTAAGGTTTTTTTCTTTTGGTGTATATTTTTGTTGTTGCTCTGTGTGGTCATGTCCCGGTTGCCAGGTTTGAGTGGTAACACCACAGCAGGGGAAAAAAACAAACACTGCTCCTCTTTTTGTCCTCATCTTGACACACAGCGTACATTCTCACCGGTTGTCTGACTCGCATCTTTGTTACAAAGTCACTTTTTTTGGAAGAGGAGAAAAAAAAAAAGTAGAGTTCAGTTGCCATACTTGTCGTAGCTCTGCATAAATTCGGATTGTATTGAAATCCTGTGTACAAACTAAGCGCACACACTTTAGAAAACACGCGTTAGAAATGGCAATTGAACACAAGAGAAGACCGGTATGTATTTCTTGATCGAATGCGACCTGATGCACTGTGAGCTCAATGTGACGTGGGAGTTGTTTGTCAAGAATAATAAATGACTAAAAAATATATTTAATGTAAAGTTAGTTACTATAAAACATTACTGAGGACATCTGTATAACTTATATGAATGTATTGTCTTGCTATACTGGACATATCCAACCAATGCATTTTACTGTAAAGCAATAATGTGAAGAAAAAAAAATAAAATGGCAAAATAATTCCTGTACATTTGTCTCATAAGTTCTTGGATTGTTTGTGAAATACATAAATTAAATGAAGCCATTTGTACATGTATCTTTTGCTTGTGCTCTTTTTGTTTTTCACAGCATGTACTAATGTTTTTAATTGATTTAAAAGGGCACTTTGACTCTTTTTACCCCATAGTTTGGATAAAAGTATTGGTGAAAGAACTGTACTTTTTTAATTTTAATGTAATTTTGTCAGTATTTCCATTTTATGTCACTTTATACTTGTGTTCCACCGCAATTCAGAAGAAAATAATGTACTTTTAACAGATTTTACATATGATTTGTCCGCTCAATTAGTACAAGGAACTTCAATTTTGATTCTGGCAACCCCTGTAGACAAAAGCGCTGGTGTGTCAAGGGGAATCCAACTAAATTCAACCCCGTGGCAGAGAATATCTATACAGAAATGGCCAATCATCTTACCGATGGTCTTGTTAAAACTCTTTGTAGCAGGTTTAAAGTATATTCTGCTGATAATACTTCTGTACTTTCACTTAAAGAGGTTCTCCAGTAATGAAGTATTGCACTTCCATAACGTTGGGGTGCTTGAAAGAAATGGATAATTTAGAAAGAACAATCAAAATTGTGGTCGAGACCCTGACTTTTAGTCCCATGTATAAGTTACTTACTCCACAAACACTGGATCTACATCTCCCATAATGCAACTTCAGACTTTGTAAAGCCTCTTCCAGAACCAAGAAGACGACGTACAACTGTCTAGACTGTTTGTATAGTGCATCACATGACGAATAAACTGAACTTCATGTGTAAAATAAGTAAAGTAACCCTTTTAAGTTGGATTTTGAGTGCAGGATTTAAATTATTGCTTTAAAATGTTAATTTCTGAAGATGCACAGAACAATTTATGATCTCCCAACAATATTGTACTAACTTCTATAATTTATTCTAATTCGTTGCTGTAAGATTTAATTAACAGAAAGTGACAACACTGGAGGAACACTTCAGAATTGCTGACTGAAAGGTTTTTTTCCCCCCCTTAAACCAGAAGCGAAATGACACAGTGCAACTTTCACAATTTTGATACGAACAGTTTAAGATATGTCACAAATCTGTCTTGGTGAAATGACCCTTAAGGAGAAGTTAATGAGTTTGATGTACTCCGTATGGCTACTCTGTTGCACCAGTAGTGATTAAAACACTTTTCAAGAAAAATTCTTTAATATATTCTGTCCATATCACCCTGGCTTGATTGCATCCTTTCTCTTCTCATACTGCCGGGCATGCTTTTCTTCAGTTCAAAATTGACTGATTTTTAATTAAAGTTCCAGCATCTTCCAATCACATCAGCTGTGGATAGATTCCTATTCAGTCAGTGCTCAAAGTAATGCCATGCAACAATACTTTTAATTTTTGCGATATGTGTGAGATTGGATAGCAAATAAATCATCTGCTATTTGGTTGAAGCATCCCTGAAAAGAATATCTAAATGAATGAGTCCCACTCATGATTGAGATATTGCTGCAACAGCTTGTATTTCTCCCTGAGTGAATGATGAATAATGATTTATTGGTCCTTACTGGAAACTTGTCTTTTGCGATAATCAAGCTGAAGAGCACTGTACTTAGCCAGACAGGATGATTGCAAACAATTTGTTATTTATAGTGACGGCTGACAACATGTGAAGGGTCCATTGAGGGGCGAGTGATTGGAAAATTCATGTTTTGATTGCATCTTGCCTCCATAAATCTAAATTTTTAGTTATTAGCACCAGTAGGGGGCAATGTTGTGAAAGGATTCACATCCAAGTGTCATAGACAAACTTTGTTACAGCTCAGGATGAAATGAGCCCCTTTACCCAAGTGAATAACAGTCTGGCAGTCTATAAAGTTTCAAACATCAAACTGTGACATAGTCAAAACATGACTGGAATGAACGCTTTCTATATGATTTCCTGCACGAAAAACACACTTCACATAATTTGTTTATGATGGATGTCCATATCCTTCATCAGCCAGCAGACACACAGCCATCTGGTGAGACCAGCACGGCCCGTGCAGGCTACTGGTGCTTCTCCCTAATGAGCCACCCTCTTGGCTACTGTGCTGCAACTAACAAGCTTCTCTGTCAGCCGTGATCCTGTGCACTGATGAGTTCCCTCTCTGCCCCCTAACAAGCCCGTTTGGGCAGCTACTGCGTGTCTCCTGTGAACGGGGGCTTAGCTTCCCTCCACTATTTGTTGTTTCCACATTTAGAGACAAGGCCCACGCATCCTGGCCTCGGCATACAGTACAGCACCATAATCCTGCTTTGAAAAGTTGTTTATCTGTTCACCCTACCGCCCCCACAGTTACAGTTTGGGGACATTTTCTTTCCTTGTTTGTGCCTTGCCAGTATTTTTGACTCCACTCTGCTGTTTGGGTGTTGCAGTGATGGATTGTGAGCAAACTGGGTTGCAGCCACTTGCTGCAGTCTCTCAAAAGGGCACCATGTGCTGCTGAACACAAGGTGTTGTGGGTTGCCCTTGTGTCCTTAACTACTGGGTTGGCTTGGCTTCCTCTGTAGCATGCTGGCATTAGCTGGTGAACTTCGACTCTGCATTTTTGTTTAAAGCAGGTGCGCCCAACCTTTTTTCCCTTGAGGGGCCAAAACAGAAACCTAATGGTGGTCCAACTTTGGCCCATGGGCAAAACAAGGATTTTCTTACTTACCTCTCATGGTGTTTAACCATGCAGATTGTTTTGGTTTTGAAATATAATCTCTGACATTTACCTAATTTAATGGAAATTGAATAAATGTGTTTGAATGGTTAGTTTCTGTTCTTATGGGCAGTTGGCACCTTGTATAGCAGCCACAGCCATCAGTGTATGAATGTGTGTGGAAGGGGTAAGTGTGGCATGTAGTGTACAGCTCATTGAGTTGTCGAAAGACTAGAAAGGCGCTATATAAGTACAGACCATTTAGGTTTTACTGAAGAATTGTCTCGATTAAAACAGAAAGCTATTTGAATTCTTCAGAATAGCTGCAATCTGTCCTTCCTTTTTGGCATCATGTTGCTGAAGCCGACTGGCCTCAGTCTGACATGTAACCCTCTGAGGTCTTGAGTTTGTGAGAAATAGTGTTTGTTAAAGCATTGGTTCTCCATCCTTTTGGCTTGTACCCCCTTAAAAATGAAGCAATGTCTTCTTAGTACCCCTTATCACAGATTGCAATATCACTGGGTGGCGGTCAGTTCAATCAAAGAAATGAAAACATTTTTGGTGCCTTAAGATTAAAAAATGAGTTAAACAAAAACCATCTTTCTGAATCTGTTTATTGAAGAGCCCTCAGATCTATCTTAGACAGGTCTTGGCCCAGAGATTTATGAACTATTGCAATAAAGCCCAATAAAAGCACATTTTCAATAGCAACAAATCATTTTTTTTAAGAATTCACCATCCCTTTCTAGACAAAATGAGTTATTCACATGACTATTTTCTAACAGTTGTGAATTTTGGTTTTTGTATTATTGGAATTTTCGTCTTATCACGCTGCTTCTTTTTATTGGTTTTAAGATTTGATAACCTGTCTTTTTGTTCGGCACTCAAAAAACTAAGAGTCCATTTAAAGTCTCTAAACTAACAGTCCACAATCCTTAAGCGGTACATTGTGCTCCATTACCACCATGTGACCTTTCCCTGGTATTTAAACCCTCTGCAAACTTTATAACTAGATGAAATTAAAATAAACTGAATAATGATGAGGACAGTGGCATTATCAGAGCTGTAACCTGTAGTCACTGGCTGTTCAGCCAATAATGAAGCCCCTTTTGAAAATAGGATATAAATCAAGCCATAAACTCAGAGGACAGTCAGCTGTTTTCACAACTAACAGCAGGACTTTCAGCGACAATGCACACTCAGCTTTCATTTACGCTTATAAGTTTATGACAGCTCCCGCAGTCTGTTCCCCTGTGCATTGCGGCTCTGTGATTAATCCATTCTGCACACGCTGAACAGTTCATGAAGGTAACACAATACCTTCTTATCTATTGTATGTAGGAATATTAAGAAGTCAGCCCTGGTGAAGCTAGCAGTGTGCAATGGAGACTGATAGTTTTGATAAGACCATCTGGGGAAAATCAACTAATGGTGAGTCATGCATTCAGCCTTTTAATCAAGGTTGGAGTTAGGATGTGTGGTGTGCCATAGATCACTTTGTGCTGTGGACTTTTGTTAGGCTATTCCACAGACATCCATCATTACAAGAACACATTAGTGTTGGACAGAGTCCAAGATTTGCATTTATTGTAGCCTGAAATGTAGAATCTAATCGAATTTTAAATTAAAAGAGTAAAGCTGACTCGGTTATATTACTTGGTTTTCAGCTGAAGTCATGGTCATAATTCAGCGTATTGTTATCCATAATTAAAATGGGCAACTTCCTCCTTTTTTGGGGCTAATTATATGTATTATAGGTAAATGATTAAACTTGAAATCAGTGCTATTTTTAGTATTTGTATGTGTGTGTGTCTGTGTGTGTGAAATTAATCTCTTTCAGCTATTTTGTTTTGCTGATTGCATGGATATTATGTTGTAGCCATTGGAGTATTTCTGTGTGGAAAACATAATCTGTGATTATTTAGATTTTTCTAATTTCAGTCATTTTCTATTTTTTATTTTATTTTATTTTATGTTTCTTTAGTACATCTTTTTCATATGTTTGTTATTATTGACTTCATTTCTACATGTGATCCATCTTCTCTATAAGTGACATCTGTCCTATGTGCAATGTTTCCTTTTTGGCCACTTGAGGGCAGCACAGCAACCTGTAAATGAAACACTGACAAACTATCACCATGTGAAGTTGATATAATGGCAGCGATCGGTTTCCTATAACCATCGAGCAGCCATGGAGCAACATTAGCATTCATTTGGAGTCGTGTTTGTGGCCTTGCTCTCAAATGTTAAGTACAATATTCACTCATCCTTTAGCTCTGTTATGGTTTCCAATTCCAGTAACTCCAGAGGGCAATGACTGT